GATGGTGGAAGCGGAAGTGGCAGGTTGCACTTCTCCTTATGGGCAATGACCTCTTCTCTCCCAGTGCACCCTGGCATTTTCCCTCCTGCACTTTGCTACCAGGAAGTGGGTCCTGCAGAGAGGGCACTGTGTGTGACCATGATGGCCTTGGGTTCACGGAGGTGGGGGAAGGTTACGGGTTCCTAAGCACAGAACCGAGCTTCACTCTGTCAATGACTCAGGTGCAGAACCACAGCAGGACCACAGGGTCGATGACGATGGCATCTACTATGTGCCGATGATGGACCAGGCATCTCATGAGAGTAAGGACAAGGTGAAGTCCGGGGCAGTAGCCAGACTGACCACTCACAGGAGTCACTGCCGGCTGTGTGCTCCCCAGTCTAAGAAAACAGCTGTTTCTGTTCCCAGTATTCTTTAACTCTTTTTGTACCACATTGTCCCAAAATGAGACTGGATCGCATATTAACTTTTGCTTTGAAAGATGCATTAGGGCTGATTTTCCACAGATGTTTTATTTTTATGTACAAAAATGTATATTTATTTATGTACAAAATTATATTTTTTCATTTACTCATATACAAAAACCTGCATTTATTCACTACAGACATGTCATATTCTAGAACATCATCATTATTCTTCAAATCCTGAATTCTGCCCTGAATATCTTACAACTGCATTTACTGTGGAACCTTTGGCTCTAATCTCTCACATCCAGCAATGGAGCTGTCTTTCCATCAGCAGTTTGTCCACGTACCCTATCCTAGTGCTCAATAATACAGGGATTATATCCCATAAATTCTTCATTCATGTCACGACCTCTTGGAGGTTGAGCTTCAAAAAGTTCCCTTTAAATCAAATGTTAGTAGAAGATTTGCAGGACAGGAGTAGCAACAAAAAGACAAAGTTAAGGATGATGGTCCACACAAAAGCACTGAAAAATTATAGGCAACAAAATTCAGGAAACATTTCTTTACTTCACACAAGTGGATTGAGAACATGGATTAGAACATGTGACATATTAAATCGTTAAGTTTCATAGTAGACACAATCGCATCCATTTGTTATCAAGTGTGTGCATTATATGTGGGTACTGTGCAAACTCTGATCAGCTATTCGGCAATAAGTCTCAAGTTTTTCTGTTTACATAGGCATTTACCTCTTCTCTTAAGGAGAACCCTTGGAGATTCATAAATACTTCTTTATAATTTATATTATAACTTCCTTTATATCTTAATGCCCAAAATAATGTTCACTCACATTTACTTATATATTAATGTTATTATTTTATAATTCAGTATGTGCATGGTGTGCTGTAACAGCTATATTAAATGAATCTGTCTGTTGATAACCTCAACTGGGGCTAATTTGGGGGTAGGTTTTGTATTACAAGCATCCTGAAAAATCATGCTGGGGCTTATTTTCCAGTTAAGTCTCACTTTTGGGGAAATGCGGCAAATTCAGCAACATTAACTAAGAACATTTATAATTGCCAAATGTAGTGCTGGATGCTTTGAAGGCATTCCTGAGCAGTTTGTGTTAATGGGCACTGAGGGCAGGAGGGTCCCTCTTGGGTCACTTAATCACCCCTCAGCTGCTCCTGAACCTTCTCTCTTGCATTCCTAGGCTACCGGTGAATAACATCTAAAGAAAAGAGGCTGCTCAATGTTCTCTGCAGAGAGGTTTATACTCCAGACCGGGCCTTCAAGATGATGAATGTGGAGGAAACAGGAGACACCAGCCCCCCGGGTTACCTGCACCCTAAGCCTGAGCCTGCACTCGTCCACTTCCTCTGGCTTCAGTCAAGCTCGAGATGCCCCTAGCATGCATCGTTCAGACCTAGTGCCTATAACTTCTCCTGGCACCTCCCCAAGACACCCCCACACTCAGGATCCTCATGCCTAACAGTCAAGGTTCTTCCTCTGTCCTTGATGTGACCCCTGATCCCTCTCCTCCAGAATCCGTCCCAAGGGAACCCCGCATGAAACCCCCAACTCTGTTAACTGTGTGTCTCACTGAGAACACAGCCCTGTGAAGAGGTGTTGACTACTCAGAAAAGAGGGGACGGGAGCAGGCTCTGGATGCTGAACTGGAGGTTTATGGAGACAGCGTGAGTGAATGGGAGTTGAGGCTTCCTTTGCAGACCTTGAGTAGGCTTCCCTTAGGGGGTCTCAGTCAGAGTGTGTTTTGGGGGTTTTACTGTGTGCCAATCTCTCATGGTAAATTATGGTGCATCCATGTCTATTTGTGCACATACAAATACACTGTCGGTTCTGTTCCTATGTACAATTAAATCTCATCCACTCATCCTTTTCCTGTCTAGAAGGCTCTAATTGAACCATTTGTCTATTTCCATGAGCAATGTTGCAAGATTTCTCCATATGCATTCCAAGTTGTGTTATTATCTATTGTATTGATTATGTCCATCCTACTGAATGTAAAGTAGTGTATGAGTATGGTTTTGATTTCCCCAATGAATACGGATGTGATATATCTAGTCATTTGTGTATGGCCAATGGGATATCTTCTTGAGAGAAATCCCTTTGTCCCTTGAGTTTTCCATGCATCCCCAGCACTGCATTGAAAGTGCTTTTATCCAGGTCACCAGGAAACTCCACATTGTTAGTTTCAATGATCAGCTCCAAGTGCTCATCTTCTTTGCAATCTAAGCAACACTTGACATATACTTACCTGAACACTGTCTTCACTGCCCACCTTTCTTGTCATCCCACTCAGTGGATGCTCTTTACTTTCTTTGACCAGATTCTTTTTAATCTTGCCCACATCTGCGTTCCTGACTTTCCCAAGGTTCATTTTGAGACCATCTTTCTTCATTCATTCACTTTATACTATTGGGGCCATGCACTGATCCACAGGCCTTGTGACTACCTTGGCAAAACTGATTTGAGAGATGTCTTCAGTGTTAAAAAACAAAAACCAAAGCTTTGGGGTGTAAAGATTCTCAAGATTATCTGAGTGGTCCCACAAAACCAAGCAACAGATAAAAGGGAGTTAGATAAGATGTAAAACTGATTCCATTCACTGATAATGGCTTTCAAGATGTAGTAGGCAAGTGACAAGGAAATGTAGTATTCTTGTACAAAAGAGCCTCAGTTTATAGCCAACAAGAAAATGAGGACCTCAGTTTTATCACTGCAGAGAAAGGCATCCTGGTAACAACCTCTACAGGGACACAATGAATTCTCCCTTAAGTCTACTAAAGATATGCAATTTCTTCTCACATATACTATAAAAGTTTTTAAAATTATTTTTCAGAAATGCAATCTTGAGATAGCATAGTTTTACTGTAAGGATTCACCATCAATTGCCCTCCAGGATGATGAGATCAGTTTCTGTTGTGTTAGGATATTAAGTCTAAGGAATAGAAAATACTGCAGGTAGTGGATGCTTATGGTTTGAAATCCTTTGGGTACTCCAAAGTTTCTGGTCTGGTACCTCCAATGAAGTGCATATTGTAAATGTCCAGCTGTTTATATGGCATCTTTACTTGATTGTGGGCCTTAGAGATCAAGTAGGATCTCCAGCTTGACGTGTCTAAATTTAACCCACCTCCATTTACTCCCACAGAGTGTTTTCTTTCCAATCAATCTCACTTCTATTCTTCCACCTGTTCCCGTGATGAAAGCATGGTGTCATCTTATCTCTTTCCCACACCCCACACTCATTCACTCATACCACTAGGTCCTCTGTCAGTACATGAAGTACCTCTCTGAGGCAGTGTGACCAGCATCTGTCACTTGGATGACTGCAGGGGCCTCACAGTCTCCTTGCCTCTGTTTCTACTTCCTCAAGTTTTATTCTCCAGCTAGTGTCCACAGTGCATGCTTCAAAATATGACTTGCATCATTGTTCCTTCTTGGGCAATGTCTAAAAGCACAAATCCTTAACATTGACTTATGTGTGTATATAAATGTCCAAATATTGGTATAGGAAATATTGAAAATTTCTTTATTTTCTCTTTCAAAAAGTGAAAAGGCAAATCCTATTGCACTCAGATTCCTTCAAAATCTTTGTTAATAGATTGTACTTGTGATGATGAAACTATTTTAAAACATGGCAGAAGATGGATTTCATTAATAATTTTGACAACCTGACAAACCACAAAAAAAGAACTAAAGTTTTTCTCCAGTCACCTAGATTGTTCTGGTAACCGTCACTTCCCTCTTTGCACTGATGAATTTTTCTTGGTGAATTTTTCCAGGTTTCCAAGCAGCCTAGTGAAAAAAAAAAGCGTTTTTGGCAGTGTGGTCCACAGTGATATTTCCAGTGGGTCAGAAATGGAGCTGGGTGGACAGGATTCTTTGTCACCAGATCCTGGGGCTGCCATTGTCCCAGAAGGGGCTGGCACAGTGTCAGGCACTCTGCTCCACCTCTTGGTTCTGGGAAAACTGGGACTTTGTGGTTGGGGGTATTGTATGTGATTGTGGCAAACACAGTTCCTTAGACTCTAAGAGTCATTTTAACAATTAATTTTGATTGTCAACATGATTGGCTTGAGAGATGCCTAAGAGATTAACAAAGAACACTTCCTTGTGTGTGCATCTGCATGGGTCATGAGAGTGTCATCTTGAGGACCTGATCTGATTCCTTCTTCTCTGGTGCTGTCCTCCTCATATCTGCTGCTGAGATGCATGCGCTGGCAGCTTTTCTCTGCACACTCTACTGCCTTGGGTCCAAATGACCATGGTCTGGAATCTCTGAAAGTGAGAGCCAAAATAAGCCTGTTCTTCTTCAGTCTGCAGGTGTCGGGTGTTTTGTCCCAGAAATGGAAAGCTGATCGATGCAGAGAAAACCTGTAACAAGAAGCAGGGTTGTTTCTGTCACTCCTCATAACCCTGTGGTTCAAAACCTTTGGAAATAGTTTCTGGAGGTGTTTGGAAATCTTTGGAGAAGCAGGCTAGAGACAGTCTGAAATCTTGAGCAGAGTCTGATGGGTGATTTGGGCGGCACTCCAAAGACAAGAATGCTAACAGAAATGTGACCAGGGGAGACCAGGCTTACCGATTTCCAGATGGGAATGAAAACTCCACAAAGGACTGGGTTAAAGGCCGTGTGTGTTACACTCTGGCCAAACAGATTTGGCTATGTTTTGTTCATGTCCTAAGACTTCTTGTGACGTTGAATATAAATGTAGAGAGTAATTGATCTGAGACAAGAAATTGCAAGGCACCCATTTATTTAGGCCAGGCCTGGGTACGGTTGGCTGTATTAGCCTGATTTAGAGTGAGAGTCAAGAATAAAATTCAGAGCAGAAAGATTTCAAAAACTTAAATTTTTTCCTGAAAAGAATCACATGTAAATTCGGGGTGAGGAGGGATAATTACTGCAGAGACTAGCACCATTTAAAGTAAACCAAGTTGTTTGAACCAGGACAAGAAAAATGATACCCGTGGGGCATTTCAGGAATAAGCAAGACACAAGCTGTCACAGGCTCAATGGTGCAAACATGTCAACCTTACATCAGAGAAGACTACCTGCTTCCCTTGTTTGACAAAGGTCACTTGCTGCCCAAGAAATTTGTGCCTTGGGATTCATTTCGCTGTGCTCAGCCACACTTACACTCAAAATCCAAGGCAGTCATGGTATGTGTGGGGTCACATAGGGAAGCTGGCATTGGACTGGCTCTGGCATAGGCTCACAGTGAGAGTTTACGGTGTGAGTGTGATCTCTATGATCTTCTGTGCTTTAGATCTGTGGGGAGGCTCTGACTCTCCTGGGAAATATTCTGATCCTTGGTGGCCCTTGTGGCTTTGGAATTAACAGTGACACTGAACCAGCCTGGTGATTTGGTCAGCATCTGGAGATAGGATATATCCTCTGGGCAGGTAGGATCCAAAGAATTATGACACTCTGAAGATCAATCTTAATGCATTTTCCCATTTTACTTCATAACATCCTGGTAACTAGGCAGAGCATTTTGCAATCAAAGAAATTGAGTCTAGTATAGTTGAGAGATTTCTTAAAGTCAAATAGTGAGAAAATGGTACAGATCCTCCATTACAGAGAAGGGAAGAGAGCCAGAATGTCTCAGTTCTCTGGCATCCGCGAACATTGACCACAGAGCACAGCTGAATTTACATCTGTTTGTGCTGTGTATATGCACCACATACTTTACAAACCCGAAAGTCCTGAAAGGATATAATTAAATATCTTGGAGAATAATATCTTCCACGTGCTGTGTTTGCAAAGCAGGTTCCCTAAACTGTGTCTGGTACTCTTTATCTCTCACTATGCTGAAGGCATACAAATATGAAATTTATAGAAAAATGGAAGATTTCTTTCGAGTGAATTCTGCTGTGAGTTACTTCCTTACCCCATGGCTGCCTGCCCTGGACCGAGTGCTGGTGAGAGGAGCTTCAGTGAGACCATTCAGAGAGGTGTGTGCTGCACCTGGGAAGGGAGAGGACACGTGCCTGATTCACAGCTGAGAGACTCAACTGGGAGATGCTGCTGGAACGGACTGTGTGAGCAGAGTCGGGACTGTCAGTGGCAAACACGGACCATCACCCAGCACAGGGGAGAAATGTGCAATGTCCTGAGGAGGAGAGCCAGCCAGACACTCTCAAGCCCCAAACCAGCTGCTGGAGGGTCACAGCAGGATTAGTCAAGAATGGAGTTTTCCTTCTCCTCCACTCCATCCTCCTCCTGCTCTATCTCGCTCCTTGCCTTTCAAAATCAGGGAGGGAGTTCCATTTGTGTTACTGTTCTCTGCAATCCTTGTGGGCCTTTGAAGGCCTTTCCTCTGCCGTGGTGGGTCCTCATCATCTTGATGGAGTCTAGGCAGCCACAGCTGACAGAGATATTCCTGCCACACCCTCGTGTACCGAGCGAGGTCCATGCACTCTGAGCTTTTTCTCTCAGGCATCTCCTCACCCAAGGCCCTCGGAAGGCTTTGTTTTTCCTAGAGTTGCCCATGAGAACTTTGAAATTCCCAACATCATGTGAAGGCTGAGAGGAACACATACCACTCAAACTGCACATTTTCTGCCGAAATGCATCTTGCCCAAGCTCCTACTCAAGAGGAATTTCTGAGAGAAGGCAGCACGTTTCTCTGAGCCCAATGGTCAGTGGAATCTAATCCTCTACTTTATGTTCCCTTCAACCTATGAGGAGTTCCCACCACCACTGCCTTAGCTGGTGGCCACATCCTCTTCCTTCCAGGACTCTGTCAGGGCTTCATCCTGAATGCATTTCAGTAAGGCTTACTTAGGAGATGCGATTGAGATGCATGGTGATTGCCTACATTTTAAAAAGTTATTAGAACTGAAGGCAAATCACCAGTAATCTCCCT